GCAAAAATACCACCATTCGTTCAGCTCAATATATTATCTGTTTGGATCATCATTTATACATTTCACAGCAGAAATTGTGGAGATAGTCGCTCGAATGAATTAATGATCCAGCTTGAACTTGATAGTAGTTGGTAAAGTCCAGAAGAAACCTTTACACCTATATGTAACTATAAATATTTACTAATTTCAAATCTTCTCCAATGTACTCCTTTTTTAAAAATTATAAAGATCAGTGGCTCTCTGGTCAGGGGGGAGTGGGAAATGTCGCCCGCACGCATTTGAGCTGTGGTCAGTTAACATACCATGAGAATAGTGGACGTGGAGCTCGAAATCCGCCATGTTTTTGCGGACACTTTTCATTTGCGAGCACGATCTCCAGATATATATAGTAGAGCTCAGTGCTGGTCACGTGCCTCCCAGATTCTGGGAGGTAAATTTAATTGTAACTGTGAGAGGGGTGGGAAAGGAGCGTGTTTGTAGCGTTTTAAAATTGCAACTTTGGGTGATGAAATTTACTGTAAATTTGCAACAAGAAATCGTAAAGAGAACTCTTAAATTAATATTTATATCGTGACGTTCTACTCTATAATCTGGTGTCGAGTTACAATTCAAGCAAGTTGGATCAGATTTCATTTAATATAGACTTGCCAAAGAAATCAAGCTTGCGGCGGCTTGCCGCTTGTGCAGCGTGGCAATATTAAACCTACAGGAAAATATGTATCTCCAGACCGAACAGTGTGGTTGTTATTTATTTAGTATTAAAGTCTATCCTGATACTCGGACCAAAAGAATTTATTTATTGATGAGATGTGGAATTGCAACGAAATAGCGAGATCTTTTGATTTGCGAAATATCGCCAACTGTATCCAGATTGTTGATCTATATAAAGACCTTATAACAAAAAAACTTAAAGCCCTTTGCATTGCTGAAACCAACGATCATGGACGTGGTATATGTCAAAGTATAGCTGTCTGTTGAAAATCTACGGTATTAAAATTAAAATCATACACCAAAGATAAGTCAAACGACAAATTATATGTCACTATATATTATACATGTCTTTCAAATATGCAGAGCACTGTTTAGTAGTGTTCACCACCTTTATAAATTTTGTAAACAGCTTTCGTTAATTTGACATGAATAAGCTTTTATTTTTTGCTTATATGCATTCTTAATAATACAAGTGAGATTTAAATTTTTGCTTTGTGAAATAGAATACCGTTATTTTTTAATGGACAGCTTGCATCGTCTATATCATATCCAGGATTGCTTGTGTGCAAACGCATTATTCACTATATGGCACTATCAAATAAATATATTAAAAGTAGCAAATGATTAATGAATTAGAGATAAACAGGTGATTCACATTGAAAACTTTAAAAATGTTAGTAGAAGTAGAAAACTCGAAAATTTATGTCTGTTCGTATGACGCCAATGACTGTCTGTGCGCATCTGACACTGTAAATTTGTGATATAGATTATAGTATGTTGGCACAATATAATGATTAATAGAGACCAACAAAAAGGCTAAATCTTACTATAATTACCGAATACGAATTATGTACTAAATCCATGTAAATCAATGACTGAAATTTCCTCTATGCTTATGGACATTTCTCTGTTCAGCTATTTATATCAAATGTTTACATTTGCTAATATTGGGCCAGTCCTAGACAATACTGTTTCTTTTAAAAATCTTATAAACAAGACGCGTAGACGTAGTAACAAATGAATCGGTGCCAAGCGTATCAACGTTTACAAGAAAGGACGAATGTAATGGCGTATTTTAAAAACATTACAATAAACGTTTGTTACTAAACCGCGCTCGAGTGTGAAGAGAGCATGCATTGAGTAACAAGACGAGACTCGAGCACTGCGAGTAACGATTTGCTTGGTTTCTTTGATTTGACTGTAAGTAAGAATGTAAGAATGTTCTTGTAAATTCAAAGCAAAGAAAATAAACAAAAATTAGCAAGTATTTTGAATGTAATAATTCGCAAAATTTATGTTTTTAACGAATATCCAACTGGAAGCATGTTATGTAATTTGATACTTTCCCCACACCCCCTCGGGCGCTAAATTTTTGATGAGGCACGTGACCAGCCGCAGCCAGGGTCTTTCCCAAAGAAAGATCCTGGGTACGAGGTTGATTCAGCGGCAGTATCGTCGACGTACTTCCAACGGTCCTGCCAATCTTCAAGTAAGTCGTTTATCATGAGCAAGAAAAGGATTGGTCCCAGTACGGTTCCTTGGGGCACTCCGCCATTAACTCTTTGCCACTCGGACACACAGAGGCCAATCTTGGCACGTCGTTCTCTTTCTGTCAGGAAGTTTTTAATCCAGCTAATTATAATTGGTGGGACTTCCATGGAAGATAGTTTTCGAAGTAACATTTTATGGTCAATATGGTCAAAAGCCTTGACGAAATCCAATCGGAAAATCCTTATAACATTTTTTGGCTCATCGGATCTGCTGAGTAATTGGTGAATGAAGCTCAATATTCGCGAAAACATTCAATATTTTCATTCGAGGCCGCCATCCTTATCAGTGATACAACTATAACCACAATGCAAAGCGCTACGAAAACGTAATAAGGGGAATCATCAATTGTGGACCCGAGACCGCCCTAGTCCCATTTAATGTCAGAATAAAATATACCACGATATATAACCCTTATTTATTAGACATTTCACTGTATTGTATCGTATTATCCATATATTAACGACCTATCGAGATAGTGAAAATTTATACTGATCCGTTGCCAATTTCTCCCAACCAACATGCATTCCTTTTAATTTTAAGGGAGACTTCCCAAATTTGCTTCATGCGTCCGCCCGAAACAGTAGCTTACTAGCTTTAAACTGAGGCGGACAATGTATTCCATTGTAAATATGTAGTTTTTATAGCCGGCAAATTCAGGAGAGCGTTTTAAATACCCTTATCAGTTTCATATAATCATATATTATTTCACTACGAAAAAGCCTTTTCACATGAAACTCAAATTTCGTGTGTGAAATTCTAAATTTCACGTACGAAATGAGCATTTTCTACCGTGGCTCATTAGGGCCATTCATTAATACACCACACTTTTTAATATGATCGCCAGTTATAACGCGCAATCGCAACATATATCGCGCAGTTGCGGCAGATTGGCGCGATCGCCAATTATAATACGCGATCGAAACTTATGGCGCGCAATAGCGAGTTATAAAGCGCGATCGCAACTTATTATATGTGAATCGCGACTTATA